CCCAGGGGCACAGATATTGAAATTGTTATTGCTAGTTTAATCTTAAATCCACATGAAGGGAATCCCTCAGTACACCCCGTCGCCTCTGTGTTTATGACATAGTAGAAAAAAGTAGCCATTTTATTGTCTTGGGAACTAGTTGTTTAATATGTCTGCAAATGTGTAATGACTTCATTTCTATTCCACCGCATAAATTGAGGCAGCTCTCACAGAGAAGAGCGAGTGAGAGCTGCTCAGTGCCAGCAAATGTCGGATGTCCTCGTTAAGTGCTCCGCTTCACCCTGGCAAAAATAAACCTCACAGGCCTGGTTGCCAAGTATTCCCGTTGATGAAAAGGCAGTTTTGAGTGGCCCCAGTTGTACCCGGCAAAGCCAAGCTGACTGGTGTTATTAGGAGAGAAGTGCGGCTGGGTTAAACAGCCTCGACACTTTCTCTGGCCAATGAAGGCTATTTTTATAAATGATTATTTTTCCTTGGTAATCTGGAGGCTGCTGAAGCACAAAGCACACAAAGGGGGGCTGGGGGGATGTTTTAAGTTGAATTTTCTAAAAAGTACAATGTTTTCCCTGGTTATTTATGCTTTTGTTCAAAATGTATATTGAACAAAAAAATATTTTCTAAATGTGAATAAATAGATTCCTGTTGTCATTGTTTGTACGACGCTTTGGCAATGCAGCATGTCATTATGGTCTTGCCAATAAAGCTATTTGAAGTTGACAGAGAACAGCAGTGAGTGACAACTGTGCAATGGCACAGAGGAATATACAAGACAAAAGGGTAACCATCTGCGTTGAAACCACTGCTCAACTGACACTGAATAAACAACTCAAGAATAAAGTGAAACCTAAACTTGTTGGAGAACACAAAAGGGAGGGGCAAGAAAACCACAACAGTGAGAAACAGCCACAAACATGGAGCATGCTGGCTGACACCTGATGGATTTGTGCTACAGTATCTCGTGGACAGCAGGACCTCCAGTGGTCTGTGTGAAGACCGGTGCAGAGTGCACTGATAATCTCTTGTCGTGTTCACCATGACAGCGTGCTTATCAGCGGTGGAGCTTCACGGGCCCCCGAACGCAACACAAACCCACCACGACATCGCACTGAAAGGTTAGCCTCATTCTTCTGGGATAATGAGGTTTGAATTGCCAGTGAGGACACACTCATTACTCTGCGTGCCAGATATTACAGCAGGAAACAGCATGGAATTTCCTTTATGGCAGACAGGAGGGAGGGAAGATACACAATTCTTCTTGTTATTACTTTTATACTGTATATAATGTTAGCTGACCTCGCCTACTTTTTGAAATAACTTTACCTCAATAGATTTCATATGATTGGGCATGTGGTGAACCTCTCCTTTGTGTTACAGCTGAAACAAGGAGACGATTCCTTGATAGATAATATTTAAATATTGTATAGATTGAATGCAAACATTTTCTATCCAGCTCCTCAATGTGTTCTTTTAGCGTTATAAACAAGTGTATCTGGGTTGGCTAAACAAAAGCTCTTTGATAAAGACGGCTTTGTGCATTAATGCAGTATGTTGATAAACAAGCTATACTCTGCACTGCCAGAAAATCTATTAGACGAGGGCAGAAACCCGTGGTCATCAGATGACTGTCTGCTGACCAGATTCTATGAAACAACGTTCACCTCTTCATCATATGGGTGCTGTAATCTAATTAATCATAGGCCAAAACACAGACAATGCAGTGAGAGCCTTGGGGCCCAGCTTCAACTGAGGTCAAGCAGAAGGTAAGGGCAAGACAATAACAGGCATGTTATTCCAGGATGTGTATACATGGAGGAGAAGACAACATTGAACACATGTGATGCTAACCTCTGCTTATAAGCTACAAATAGATCACCTTAACCTACTTTGGGTGATTTTTACTGTCAATAAATCGCTTGTTAATTTTCTTGGTTAATAGATTAGTTGTATGGTCTCTGAAAACGAAATGGTTTCTGAAAACGATGAGAAAAGGTCAATCAGTGTTTCCCAAAGTCCAAGATGAAAGTTGACAACTAATCAATAACCTTCGCTTATGTAGTTCGAGGTCCAAAATGTTCAGAAATGCCAGAAACATAAAGCAGGGTAGCAATATGTGGTATTCAGCATTGCATATGTGAAACAATGTAGCTGCTCCCTCATGACATGTTGAGGACATTGGCACATTTTTCGTTTAATAAAACAAACATCTCCATTTTAACTTCCAATATCATCCTGAGACAAAGAAAATAAGGAAATGGGAAGCAAATCCTAGGATCACCCTACATACACCAGACTCAGTTCAGGAATATCTCTTGACATATTGGCCTACCCAGCATGCCATCTGCCTCACTAGACAGCTCTGACATCATTATAAAGCATGATACAGACCAGCACATCAGCTGCACACAGCCAAGGTTATATAAGTGAACGCTCTATGTTTCTAAGCATTAGGCCCCACCGTGGGGAATAGGAGGGGATGCGAGTAGAGAGAGAAGGGGTGGAGGGGGAGGGGGGGGTTTAAGAAGAAGGAAAGGAGTGATGAGGCCAGGAAAAAAAGAGAGACAGAAACAGGGTCACAAAAAGAGAGGCCCACTGGGGTTCTTGCTGCTGGGAGAGACTGAAGAAGGTCACCTCTGGCCCCCCAAAGGAGCCCCAGCCAACAGGAAAAAAAGAAGAAGAAAAGAGCGGAGTAAGAGGAGAACGGGTCACATGGGGCTACACCCATCCACCTTCTGTGTTCTCTCTCATGTACAACACTGTTACATCACTCAGTATTGCCTATGTACTTCCCTTTAATACATGGAAAATAACTATTTACATTAAAGGGGAAAATAAAGTTCCAGTGTGTGAGAAATCATTGCATAAGTGTTTCTACAAGTATGTCTGTTTACATAGGTTCTGCACTCTCTGTAGCCTACGCTTGGTCTATTTAAAATCCTATCTGTAGAGAAAATGTTTATACCTGACTGCTGGATTTGACCAGGGCTAATAATCAACCCAGGGAAAGAACACTGCAATTTAAACAGATGGCTAATGATTAATGAACTGTGAGCATCTGGGTCCGTACCAGCTGATCTAACATAAATCAACTTTGTTTTAGTCCCGTTCTGTATAGAATCCTGACACTCTATAGGGCTTTGACACCACATACATTAACATAATAATGACAGAAACCGTATTTAGAAGTAAAGATGTATTCAATCTCCCAGACACCTTGAGAACTTTTAGAGGAATAAATAAGCCTATATCCTACTTTAAAACCAGCATAACTTCCTTTGTTCTTTCTACTTTCCATAAGATGACACAAAAAGGGAGGTTGTTTTGGGCCTAAATTCATCCTGTAAAACGAGACTGCAACCTTTTTCTGAGGACATCTCAAGTCTAATGATTTAAACATCTAAGAGTCAAAACAGTTTTTTTGCATTGGTTACCATGTTGATGGGAAAATCCATACACTGCCTTTTAAAATAAGCCTCAGAGGAAATGCTTCTGTTGCCAGCTTGATGGATTCAACTGAGAGAGCATACAGCTTAGACTGTCACTTTCTATCAGCACAGAGCAAGATACTACTGTGAAAAATAAATGTGACTGAGAATGGACACCCTGAAAAAGGCTTCTGGGCAGAGTGGTCAGAGTGATTTAATTATTACAGCACTGTAATGTAGTGATGAGGGACTTCACACACACAAACAGCTGCAAACTCACTAAGGAAACTGTCACCATTATATTCATGATCTGCTGCGCTGAGATTATTTTCACTGGGGATTTGGTCTGAGTGAATGATTAAGTGTCAGTGCTGTCTGTCAGCAGCCAGTGAGGGCTACGGGACATCACATCAGGCTGTATTATTAAAGTGTTTCTTGGCCACATTAAGCATTTTAGTCTTGTTATAATCAGTGCAGTCATGTCGAGACAACTTCCAGGGCAATGCCTTCGTTTTAGAAAGTACACCCAATTGTATTAAGTTTTACAGTATTTTAAGGGCATGTTTATCTAAAAACACACACATGCAATTGTACAATTGAGTCGGAGCGTCTGTGATAATTTAATACCCGACCCAGACAGTTTTAATGCAGTGCACATTGAGCCTCGCTAGAACACTGTGTTCTGATATTGGCAATGTGTGATACATTTCAACTGATACTCAGACAGTGATTATCTGGGATGCACTGGAGATTTGTCTACAACAGACAGTGATATGACGCCGGTACACTAATTACTCAAAATACCAGACTAGCGTCATGCAGACCATTATACACAATGATAAACTATATTTTTAGAGATGCATGGCAAAAAGATAAATGTTAACACTATTTTCAAACTGGGTTTAGTTTAGAAAGCTTTATGCCAGCCCAAAAACATTTACAAATGCATTGTTCCCTTTCATTACAGCCTTACATTAGATCGAAGTCAATAGTAAAATGAACACTAGAATGATGCCAATGTTTTTACAATAACAGTGCAAGTAGGCTATGCATTTAACACTCACTTCAACACCTGAAGGAGAAAATGAGGACAACAGAATTAGGGTCAAGAAACAGAGCTGAGAGGCTTCCTATAGATCATTTCCTATACATTATGGGTGTATCATAGCTGGTGGTCTTTATCGATCAGTCTGACTCCCTCCGTTTGTGTGTGCACGTGTGCATGCGTGATTGGACCATGCGCGCGCCAGAGTGCAGCAGGCATAAATCCAAGTTCGGGCCTGTGTGCAGCACATATTACCACAAGCATAACACACTTAAAGGAAAAGGGCAGCATGACCGCTGTACATGTGTACCCGGCAGTGTTGCCTTGTAATTGACAACTAAGCAGAAGGAAACGTCAACAATAGTTGCGGAATGGCTGCAGACCAACAATTAGACCCAGCCTACTGTACTGTACACCGTGTGTACCTTGGCTGCTGTCAAACCGGCCCCGGCTACTGATGCTAGCAACGCCAAACAACTGCAAACACCACGCTGTGGACATCGGGAGGGTTAAAGCCTCATAGCGACACTTACCGTCGGTTACCCCCACGCGGTCTGGACACCAGTTCGGGTTGGGTATTGGGGCATTAGGCGGAAATGAAGCGGGAGAAAGTCAGAGGGGCTCCTCCGGTTTGTGCATACAAGTGTAGCGGCAGCGCTGAGCGGCTACACGTCTCCCCTCACTCCGAAGCCCGGTCCTCAGCTAAGCTGCTACGCCTCGTAGTGCCAGAAGTATCCCTCTCCTCACACAGCTCCGTGTCCTCCTTTCCTACAAAGCTTTTGCATGAAAATTAGTAGTTTGTTCCCCCTTTTTCTGGTGCCTTTCAGTAGCGTTTGGATGGGCTGCAACGACAGGAGGGAAAGAAGCAAAAAAAAAAGAAATACTACACGGTCGCTCCTCCCTCTGCTTATGTACTGTACAGTAAGGGGAACTCTGCTGGGTTACCGCTTATTAAAACTATCTACCGCTCTCTACAGGACCACCACTGTAAAACACAAACTGTAGCCTGCACACAAACACATGTCGGGACGGTGAGATGAGAAATGCTGAACATCTCCCTGCCTTGGGTCGCCTTTGCTTTCCTTATTTATTGACTTCATCATGAACGAGCCGAAGCCCCCTCCTTCCTCCTTCTCCCTGTAAGAAGGTGAGATCAGTCCATCTTGTAGGTAGACATTAGCTCTGATGAAGGGACACGACTGGGCTGTTAAATCATTACAAAGGCGTTTATCAGAGAAATATCTAAATAATCTAAATAACTCAATTATCATTATCGACAATTTATCAGGAAAATGATCAACAATTTGGATTATTGATTCATCATGCAAGTCATGTATCAAGCAAACACGCCATTCTCAGGATTCAGGTCAAATGTAAAACATTCACTGTTTTAAATGCTATTTGTGAAAAAAACTGAGTGTTGAACTAATGGTCGGCCATAGGAAATATGATTGAACTTGTGATTGTTTTCAATACCAATTTTCAGGTAAATTACTTTCTATTAATTAAATGTTTGTCTTTAAAATGTCCACATGACGTTTTCGGATTCTTTATTTATTTATTTCAGTTAACGGTTCAAAAAGCAAAAAGATATTTCATTTCCAAAGAAAGATAGAAGCTAAAAAATGCCTCAAATGAAAATGTTGACAACTTTTGGATAGTTGACCAATCGTTACAGCAGTTTTTTTTGAAGACATGAAAAGACTGCAGACAAAATAATGAGTTATTCACTCAGTGAAAATAATCAATACTATTGACCTTGTAAGCAATATTTGCAATGCAGTGATTGTTATCACAAACAACAAGCAGAGGGGATCAGGGCTAAATTAGCTTTTTTGCAATAATCCCTGGATTGCTTTTCATGATTGCAATTATTTAATTGCTACCAACAAATCTATGGCTATACAGACCGATAGACAGATAGAGAGAGTGAAGGAAAGACAGAATATAATGCACTCCATTTATTTTGATTAAAATAACAGCTGGACAAACAGAACCTATAAAATTACCATAACTACTTCATATAGGCCGTAAACTGACAAAGGCATCCTGGGAGCCTGAAGTATCCTGACGTCAATGCAGCCAAAGAGTCTCTTAACATATGGTAGTGTGGATCGTTTTTTTATATACCATTTCGAGAAAAGTCCAATTGTCGATAAAACGTAGTGCAGGCAGGGCTCATGAATAAACTCTTTAGACTTGGAAGAAGTCCGGTGTGCTGAGCAAATGTATTATGACTGAAGCTTCAAAACTGATATTTCTGTCGGAAAAATTTAGCAGACAAATATTCAGCAAATCACAAGCTGTGGAAGTGGCACAATGTTCAAGCACTGCATTGATAGAACTGAGAAATGAATATTTGATTGTTTTCAATAGCAGGGGAGGAGAATCGTGGTAGAGAATGAAAGGTCTACTGCAACAAACACAAAAGTGCACACTGCTTTATCTCTGAAACCATAATTTCACTGACCATCTCCATGTCTCACTTTTACATTTCACTATGTGGGAATGTACACAAGTAGTGATACAGGAAGTTGCTATTGATTAAATGCTGGTGTCGGTTATATGCACTTGATTTCCAGAAAAAGTCTGTTCTATAGAACAAAGCAGATCCAGTGAGCTAGCTCTATCCACAGCCTAATCGTTGTCCTCAGAAAAGGACATGTTGAGAACTGTGCTAATGACTCAAGTCTGCATTTGATCATGTTGGTTTTGTCCCTTTAAAAGTGGCCATTGCATGCGTGCCTGACGTACAGGGCTTTGAGTGCAAATGTTATGTTTCAGTTGCTGTGACAATTCTGAAGGACACCCATTACTGAAGGACACAATTACAAGATTCACTACAGATCTTCAGAGATGTTCAGCTCAGATATAGAACAGGCAGGTGGGACATAATCTCAGCTCGAGCGATAGAGAGTTGGATTGTTACTGCTAAATGTATGGTCATTTTTACAACAATATATGCACAAGGTGACTATAGTATGGTTAAGGTTACATTAAGGTGAATAAAGTGATTAGGTACTTGGCTTCTTTCAAGGATGTGTAAATGTTATACTAAAATGTCATTGGAAGAGTTTCTGCTCGCAGTGATCTCTGTCAAAGCTGGCCATGAAACTTTCTCTTCCCAGATCACAACAGAATCCAGAGTCCTGTGAAAGAAATTTGTTTTTTAATACATCTGTGGCTTATATGAGGCTTCACCTAAATGAGTTAAGAATTCACAGGGCAGCTTTTCTAAGTTAATCTTTTTAGTACAACATTCCTTTCTTGTGTTTCCACAGAGGTTTTTTTTCTTTCTAAGTCTTTGTGTGGCTATATGTCCTCATACAGTAGTCACATGTAGGGCAACCGTCACAATAAAAATGTGCATGATTGCAGAGAAAAAGAAACCCTCTTGATGTGGCAAACTTTAACAGTGCAGTCACACTAGGAAGTGATTACCCCTTCAGTTATTTTGGACTGAGGTTCTCGTCTGAAGTCACACCAGAGACTCATTGAGTCTGTACTTAGGCCCCAGCCACACAAGGACGATAACGCAAACGGACCGCAATCGTTATCAAAAAAGTCTTCCGTCCACACGCAACAGGCACCAGAAACGTGTCCGTTCACACGAGACCGCTCGAAAGCGCTGGAGACGCTGTAGTACATATGTCAGGCCTGTAAGTGGCGCTGTAGTCCTGCCACAAACGCAGCGAAGAAGACTTCGCGCATGGTTGCCATGGTTGCCCTTCTGTTTAGTCTCCGCTGTGGACGCTCTGGCTCTTTTTCTCCCTCCCCGAGGCAAGCGTTTGCTCCTGATGTAAATCTCTCCGGTAGTCCACCAGCAGATGACAAACACCCACCTCTCCGCCTCTTCCAGGGGACGAGGGGACCGTGCAGCAGAGTTTCAGTTAGATTTTTTTTCGCCGGTCAACATGTCCGTTAAAGTTTAAATCTTCCGGACAAAATTAGAAAAGTGCCGGTCAAAGGTCTTCTTTGTTATTTATTGAGCTTTAAAACAAACTCTATATAATAATATAAGAATAAAAAACAGAGCCTCTCTTTTCCTCCCCCTCTTCTGACAGCTCAGCAGCTGATCTCTGAGCAGGAGAGGTGGGGAGAGGCGGGGCTATTGCTTCAACGTTATCAGGAAATGATCGTATAGGCGTAAACACGGAGCCGTTTGCCCCCCCAGAGCATTTAGTTTGCAGATCTACCCACCTTGGGACCCGTTATCGTTATCGTTTTCTGCGTTTCCATGTCGGCCTCGTGTGGCCGAACCGTCTATCTGATAGCAGATACGACCGTTATCGTCCAACTAACATTGCCACACTGGAAACAAGAATCTGAATCTATACTTTGAAGTAAGTTAACAAAAACTTGTCTTAACCAACTATATCGTCAATGTGGTAACAATTTTAAGTAGATAACACTCGGACAGCCCAGTCCTCCACCGGGCCGATGGTGCATTCGGACATGCACTTCGGATTGTCCCATTATATAGATAGGAAGTTGTTTGTGCAACATTGGTGTGTCCATCGGCTTTAAGGGAATCAACTTGGATGTAGACGGAAGATGTGTGACATTGTATTGTTCAGAGCATTTAAGAACAGGTCGATGGCCATTTCTGAGTTCTTGTGTCGACTTGAGGAAGAGTTCAACTTATTTTTCCCGATCAAGATTTTTTTTACAAAACCACAAATCTGCCGCATTATTCGGCTGTCCTCCACATTTGTATTGGGTCTTCTTTGGGTCATGCCCCAGCCTTCCATTAAATTCTTTAAAAATAGGACCAGTATTTATTCCATAATCGCGCTGACAGACAATTTAATTGAGCATAACTTTCTTGGCGAGGTACGAAAAAAAACATGCCAACTCTGGTGCTACACACCTCGGCCTCATGTGTCCAATCAAGCGTATTAATTACATTACCAGTCCAACCCTATTTTTGGCTGCATTTTATAAACCTCACTCAGCTACCCCATTGGCCTTGAGCGTTGGCACTTTGACGCGAGTCGTAAACTGCAGAACCGTCCGCCTGAACATCATTCCCACAAGATTGGGCAGTAGAGTAGATAGATATGTTAATGACTGCATAATGCACAGATGGATAATAGCCCTTCTATATGAATCAATTCCCACCACAGGCTGCACAAAAATATGCACGTAGCAGCTGGGCCGTTTGAGGCTTTGACTTGGGTTTACCATTCACCGCCATTACTGAAGCCACACAATTTAAATGTAGTCAAAGGGACTGTTAGATAAGTCAAATCTATTTCCAATGTTTTCTTTAAAGTCCCTGTGAGTATTGTGTTTTCTTGATTTGGTGTTGTTTATTTTAGATGGATTTACTGTATACATTTGATGCAAAAGTGCTAAAACACCTGCTTAAAAGAGAAGTTAATATTTAGCAATCCTGTAAACAGACTACAAAGATTAATTCTCTCTCCTGTGCTTTTAATTAGCCATGTGTCATTGTGGTTGAGTGTTTCATTTGCATGTGATCGTTATCAGTTAATTGCTTGTTAGTGCTGCATGCATGCAAGTGTACATACTGTTAATAGTCTTTGCTTTTCTGTAAAGTACAGTCCTTGGAATGAAATCTGTTGTATAAATAAACTGTCTATTGGCAGGGTTGTTAATCATTGTCAGGGTGTAAAAAACATTTACGAACACTATCCTCAGGCCAAACACTGACACATGACACACACACGCATTGTTATAAACTAGTAAAAAGGTAATGGTATTATTCACATCAAAGTCCACTTTAAGCTATCAAAATTCCACAAAAACAGCCTTTGCATTTGCTTAAGTGCATATGAGGATAAACTTGGCATTCCCAACATCATTGTACTTCAATAGTTGAACCT